CTATGGAATTAAACAGATGGACTGTACCTAATGCCCCAGAGGCAATCCCGGCTTAAGTCCGTCTGTCAGTGCCACAGTTAACGATCGATTTGCTCGATCAGCCTCGCGACTGAAATGCATGGTAGACTCAAGCCTACAAAGGAAAAGAAGCGAGAACATGGCTCGGAATGGCTCAAGCCTATGAGGGAAAAGAAAAAGGAGGGGAAGGCCAGTTGCAAAACAAGCCTATGCCAGAAAAAACGTAGCCCAAGGAAAAGCCCTACCATGCATTCAGTTAACCGTGTCCTGCACTGACAGACTGGAGCGATGCCCAGATTGCCTCTGCTACCTTCCGGCCTTGGCCTCGGCACATTAGGCCTATAACACCTGACCCAACCCCGACTAACTGGACAAGCCCTAGGAGAAATTAAAGAAAGATATGGGAAAGAAGCCCATGCATCGGTAAACTGCCATCACCGGGATTGTATTGCAGTCACTCTGTGCTGCAACAGCCGCACATCCGAGCTGTATATACAGCAGAATTATAAAAACCTCCAAGCTAACGCAACCACAGAAAAGCAGTATCACCCCCTTCAGTTGGATACTTGCGAAGATCTTGCTTAAATTGCTGAGAAAAGAGTCTAAAGTATCTCTTGAAGAGGTCTGTCGAAAATCCGTTATTTCTCAGCCTTTGGTGCAAAAGTTCACTATTAAAGTTGAATTCTACTAAATCAGAGCAGTTTAGGCAAAACCTATTTTATTGGGATATTACAACGTTTTTCACGATATGGCTAGGAATATTGCTTCTGGCGTTGGGCATACTAATGAAATCGAAGTTGAAATCCCTTCTTTTGTCATATACATCTGTGATGAAGCAATCATCATGTACAGAAATATTTAAATCCAGATAATGGGCATATTTGTATGGGGGGGAAACAGTTTCTTCGAGCTCAAGACAATCAGGATATATTTGATTCAGCTCATCCTGTATTACAGAGTTATTCATTGAGAGTAAATCATCTATATACCTGAAAGTATATAAATATGCTTCTGGATTTGGGGTTTCTGACATTAACTTCGACTCATAAAAGAATAAAAATAAATTTGCCATATTAGTAGAGTAGTTACTGCCCATTGGAATCCCAATTTTTTTTGCCTAAAAATCTGATCACCAATTTTGATGTAATTATTATCTAAGCAATTCCTCAAAATGACAGAAAATAAATCTTTAGTAATGAAAGTATATTTATAAGTGAAACCTGATTCTGCATTGTCCTGAAAAAGCTCAAGAATGTTACGATGCAGGATATCCAAAGGTATTTTAGTATATAAAGTAGAAAAATCCCATGACATTACAGAAGTGGTACAGTCCATCTGTTTAATTCCATAGCCGTAGCACCTGACAGTAGAAACTTTCTGGGTAGGGTTTGTTTGATCAGACTTGCGGCCTCAACCCCCTGATGACGCAGGCTGCTTGACAAATTTCTAGGATGAGATCCTTCGCTGTCTATTCTCTTTTTAACGTCCTTAAGCCTTGCCCCATATCTGCAGGCTGTTTTGCCATAGATTGTTATATGTCCTCTTCGTCTAGGCTGGGAGCCTGCCTGTTGCCTTGGGTGGCTATTGGTGGGAAGGCGTCACTGTTTTACTTGAATTCTATATATATATATATATATATTGAAAGTAGAATTGTTTCTTTACTCAGCTATTCATCGTGTACTTCTTTGCCAAGTTTAAACTTTCTAGCACCCTCCGTTTTGCTGTATCAGAAAATTCAGGAAAATTTGAGAAATATGTGCCCTCGGGTGTTTTAACCAAAAATTACTATTCTTACCGAAATCAAACCTAAGTGAACTACATGCCCACAAAGTTTCAAATTATACGTGTGCCCCTTTCGCTGGTGAAAAATCATGTTTGGAAAAGCCTACCCATCCTAAAGCAATGCCCGGAGAGGATGCACCATGAAAGCTGAATACTCCCTCAACTCAATAATATCACGTCACTTATACGTGTGCCAAGTTCCACCTTTCCATTTCTGTCCAATTTACCAGGACAATTTATTTTTTTTTAAACATCGCCCCTTGAGAAATTTCCCCCCCGGGGATGTATCAAGGCTTAACATTTTTCTTTAACTCCTTATCTTGGTAGTCACATTCATACGAAGTTCCAGCTTTCGATGTCCAACGGTTTAACTAAGGAAAAAAAATGTGAAAACATCTCTCTTCGAAATTCATGCCCCCAGGGCATTTCATTCCAAAATCTGAATTTTTCTGCACGCAGCATTCGGTAGGTAATAATGTACCAAGTTTCATCTTTCCACTCTCGCTCAATACACCAGGACAAAAAATACTTGAAAACGACGGCCCCAAAAAATATGCCCCCAGGGCTTGGATCTAAAATGTTGCATTTTGCCTGAATTCATCGTGTCGGGAGACACGTCCACGCCACGTTTCAGCTTTCCATGTCTCTTTGTTTTATTCAAGCAATGGGACATAGAAGGCAAGAGAAGCCAAAAAAGAGGCAAGGAATGGCTGGGAATTGAACCCTGGCCTCATGATTACCTGTGAGATGTGCTACCTCTACACCACCGAAACGGTGACAAGTAGAAGCATCTCTCGATGACATCCTTATCCATCACGATTTATATTTAAAAAAACTTCTCCCCCCAAAATTTGTACCCCCAGGGCATGTACCTCCGAAGTCGGATTTTTTCCGAACTCTGCACCCCAAAAGGTACATGTGTACCAGGTTTCAGATTTCTAACCTTTCTGGAACATGGTTAGAATTAGCGTCAGTCAGTCAGTCCGTCAGTCACGATTGTCTATATATATAATATGAAAGTAGAATTGTTTCTTTACTCAGCTATTCATCAGGTACTTCATTGCCAAGTTTAAACTTTTATAGCACCCTCCGTTTCGCTGGATCCATGCACCCAGGGGATGGATACAAAATTTTGCATTTTTCCTTATCTCATCGTGTCGGTATGCACGTCCATGCCACGTTTACGCTTTCCATGTCCAACGGGACATGGAAGGTAAGAGAAGCCCAAAAAAAGGCAAACAATGGCCGGGAAATGAATTCTGGTCTCACGATTACCGGTCCGATTTACTACCACTACACCACCGAAACGGAGACACACAGTGGTTTCTTTCGATGACATCCTTATCCTTCACGATATATATATATTTTAAATTCTTCCCCCAAAAATGTGTACCCCCAGGGCATGAACCTCCAAAGTCGGATTTTTTCTGAACTCTGCACCCCAAAAGGTACACTTGTACCAAGTTTCAGATTTCTGACTCTTCTGGAACATGGTTAGAATTATCTTCAGTCAGTCAGTCAGTCACGATCGTCTATATATTGATATATTAGATATATTAACTATTTGCTCACCCCCCTTTCCGATGAATAGTCTCCTAAAGCTGCGCATGGCCATGGATATAGAAAAGGCGTGTGGGTACATACGCCCCTTTTCCAGAGAAGTCCTTAATTCTTTTCCACAAATAATATTCTAAATTAATCGAACTAAGGCTCTTCATTATAATTTTTTCCTTTGTGAAGGTCTTCGACTTCCTCCACCTCTGGATGTACACCAACAAAGTAATATTCCACTGCAAGTTCAATAGCAACATCTGTATAATAGTCGGTCCGACCCCCCCCCCCCCACTCCCAAATTAAAAAAATCATGATGGCGGGAGGATGGTGCTGGCTTAGTACTGTGAAAGTTGGAAAGGAATTTACGTGGAAACACTCCCTCCGTCCCATAATCAATTCTCGTCACGGACTCTTGCTCGGTACTTCCAAAGCATGACCATCATTTCCGTGGGGATATCGGTTTTCCATGGAAATGCTCTGGTTGCACTTCTCTTAATGCTGGACCCACGTGTTGTCGTAGTCGTGTTCTAATTGGAAGGTGTTGCCTTGTCCAAAGAAATGGACATCTGTGTGCTACACAGTCTCCCCTTTTAGTATTTCCACAGCAACTTCAGAGAATGGGTACTGAGTGGTATGGAGAGTGGTTTCAGAAATGAGAGGGTACGGGATCAAACATTTCAGTGACCGATTACCATGGATTGTTGGTCATTCCATGCGAATCATCGCCTTTTCCACTCGGAACGTGTCAAAGCTGAGGTCAGAATGAAAATCCAGAAACTTGAGAGGAAAAAATGAAACGCACATTGCACTCTTCGATGGACTGACCCACTTGCTTTGGAGGAAGTAAAAAAAGAACGAGTCTAGCTCATTTCAATGAAGACCATCTTAAACTAGAGCTCCTGCACCAATCATCTTTGGAAAATGGCATTATGCATATTATTCTCTGGGCCAAATTATAAGGAATTAGTTTCGGCCTTACTAGGAGGGATTTGATTCGGGGCTAAGCGATGGTGCGTTGAATTCCCAGCTGAAGAAAGGTATTTGGTACAAATACGCGAATCGCGGATGCCACCAGCTTCATTTGTCAGAGTGACCACGAAGCGAAGACTGGAAGAAGACGTGCATGGGCGCGGGCATGTCGCCTTGTATCCGCAGTTGTTGGAGGTCTACCGTTCCGAAAGAGGGTTTGTGGTTTCTGGGAATCTCGATATTGTTGTTGAGCAGCAGCAGGAAAGGAATTTTTGATATTACGAAGAAGAGAGAGGTGAAAAGCACAAATACTGAAGCTCCCTTACCCAAACACGATATTCGGCAACAAGGAGATCCTTGAAATCCTGAGAGATTAGAGGTGCATTCATAACGTTAAAACCGGATTATCCGTCTGAAGTTAATTAAGATTAAGCGTGTTTTGCTGACGTGCTAAATAAAACGTCGGTTTCGGGTTGCCATAAGATTCCATGTATTAAATGTAACTGATGACTACCACTTCAACATCAACCGTTATCCGTTCATGTGCCACATCCCGTCCGAACAGACTTGGAAGAAGTTTCGATTGGTGAATCAGCAAAATTTCCTGACCCAATCCTCTGAACAACTGTTTATTTCAATGAACATAAGATGTTCCCATGCAAATAGTTGCCGGCATTTCATCCGCTGCCGATTTCAGAGGAGATGAACTCGATGTTAGAGGTGATCCGAGTGTAACGGGAGGGCTTGGACGAACACGGAATTACACCGTAAGAGTCCACACCCATGGCGTAGGCTATGCCGTTGACATACACGACCAGAGGTCCACCACTGTCTCCCTGCAAGGATGTTCAAAGTCTCAAATCAAGACTTTTTATCGCAAGGGGAACGCAATCAGCCCAATGGAACATCTTTTCGAGGAAAAACAGCTAAAAATACAATAGAAACGTAAAGACCCACCTTACAAGTTCCAGTCCCCTCGGTGACACCCTTGGCGCATATGATTCCCCTGTCGTACTCAGTCGCGCACTCGTCCTTGGGAAGGACGGTGGCAGTCACCTTCCGCAGCAAGTCCGTAGGAGTCACGCCATCTGCTGTGATTCTCCCCCAACCGAACATCTTGATGGTGCAGGCTCGTGCATTGTTCAAGTTGTCTGACCTCGGGATGCAGATCGGTTGGATGGATGGTGTGAATTGTAGAGGCAATGCTAGTTTGATCACGGCGATGTCGTGGCCCAGTGCTAGGTTCACTGCAAACGACAAACATCGAAAGGAATGTCATCACCATGCGAATAAGGAAGGGCATCAATTAAGGGAAGTTTCGGTTATCTCTCTCAAAGACGAGAGGGAATCATATTTAGTCTCTACGACATATTTCTCTTTCTTTCCTCGGCTCCGGTTAGCCTGATGCTCGCAGCTAATCTGAACTTACGAATCCTGGATTTTCAGCTTAAGAATCCGTATCGTTCTTCGATCACACACTACAATCAGGAGATTGGTAAGCGGCTTGGTCTAGAAATGAATTCCGCTCTGAAACACACACACCCCTGTCGCCGCCACATTTCCATATGCCCCTTTCCAGGTCTTATCATACTATCGAATGCCACCTCACATCGACTATTGGTTTCTATCTATCTCTTTTATCGACAATCCTGTGATGAAGTCATTTTAAGACTCAAATTACACACATTTATTTCTATTATACGGATCCCAGCACAAAGAACTAAAAGTAAATACAGCACCCTTCTGGTCGCTTTGCCTGACTATAGGGTGAAGCATGAGTCTACAATGCTCAAAGCGTAATTTCTCCTTCTTTCTCAAAAGTGTTCACCCCAACTGAATTCCCAGTCGCTCGACTAGGAACTCTTTCTCGACAATTGGACCTAAATACATTGGGTTGGAAAGTGTTGCAACACTTTCTAAAACTATTTATGAAAATTTTCAAAGGAATGATGGGCGGGACTTTGCATTTGTATATGCTGGAATGTTCTCGAAGCCTCTGCCCTCGGGGTATATAAGACGGCTTCTGCCATTAGTTGGCAGCCATGGCTCCGATCGAACAAGCAACTCTTCGCACTGGGCAAAGGGCATCGAGCAGTTACCCGTGTGTTGGGAAAATGTCATAGATAACAATGGTCATTATATTGTTGACTGAAATTGCATTTCAATAAAGTTATAACATTTTGAAAAATTTGCGCAGAATGTTGCAAGACTTTCTTTCCAACCCAATACATGGTATAAAATAGCAAGTTCCCTTTTACTCACAGTTGTTGTAGGAGGGATGAGGATGGAACGACGATGCAGCGTAAAGTTTCCCCTCCCTTTTATTCTCGTTCCCGACCCTGACGCTCGAGGAACTTGCCAATCTTGTCCTTGAATAAAAACATGTAAAATGGGTGAAATTTATCTATGTTCGTGCCAGTAAGAGGCAGGTATAACTATCAGCTTCCAATTTTAGAGAAAACTGAAAATGCACATCCTTTTTTTCACTTTTTCTTTTCTCGCTTCACAGCAGAAAACCAGTTTGAGACAGCCCTAATAGCAAAGCTACCCTCCAGCAAAGTTACCCTTCCATGATGCAATGACCTGCAGTCAAGACGTGATACTGGTCGATGATGGAGCCCGTGCATCCAAACGTTCCATTGGACATGACGGAGGAGACGTAGACGAGCCACGGCGCCTCCGCGATGGTGGCGGGGGTGCCCCGATGATCACGGGGTTCTCTGAAGACCGGAAGAGATCCAGGAACCGCTGGAACCAGCTGCTCCAGGCGGATGATCCGGACGAACTCCATCGTCCGCATGAGCTCGCCACTGCGATACGGTTTCGTTAGCCAACGATGTCAAGTTAACCGAAGCTTTAAATCGATTCAAAAAAAAAAATGAACATATTTCTTGAATGTGAAACCTGCCAAACAGTGAAATAGGAAAATCTCAAGGGGACGATTGCATTCCGTTTTGGCGAAACAGTTGAAAAAAATCGTCATTAAGAAGTCTGGAAATTTTCGACTACGAGGAATACATATGCATGAATGAAATACAATATTTTAGAGACGTGGTTATAGTCTCAGTAGAGATTCGCCAAAGACGGTATCGTCTACAAAAGGTACAAATTTCCGAATCATTCTGATGCTTCGGTGAGGAAAAAAAAAAAGAAACGCTTCGACAAAACAGGTGTGCGATCTACGATACAGGGAAGATTACCCCCTAATATAAGACGAAGACTCACGGAAAAGAGGGCCTGTTGACGTGTATTGGCTACAAGTTCCGGAAGTTCCCGATACTGATCCCTGAAGACTCTCTTCGGGCAGAGTAAGAAGAAGAGCGACGGCAAAGAGGTATCCGTTCATGGCGAAGGTTCTCCTGTCTCTGGTCTCCGAGCTCAAACGCTTCTGTCACGGGGGGTGGGGGGGGGGGAGGGGGGGGTGGGAGGATGTCTCTGGTCTCCGAGCTCAAACGCTTCTGTCACGGGGGGTGGGGGGGGGGGAAGGGGGGGTGGGAGGAAAACCTTGGAAGATGTTCGTTGGGCGTGACTTGCGTTTGCGAGGAGGGGGTTTTCTTCGAAAATGCGACTTTTCTTTCCTGCAGAGGAGGAAAGAGTCGCTTCTCCACGTGCCGGCACGCGAGGAATCGGCACGTGCCGCGACTGCCTTTCTCTACTCTTTTCTCCTTCATGGTTGTCCACACGATGAGGAAAGTGCTGCGACGACGAGGAAAAAGGCGAAGCAAAAAGTCAGGCGATCGAGGACACTCTTTCGTTTTCTGCGAGAGAACAATGTATTCGGGCCTGCGACCGATGATGGCGAGATGTGCAAGTGTTTGCCATTAGAAAAACCAAGAAGAATGACGATTACCTGTGCTTCAACTCCTTCAAATTCCATTTAAATAGCTTTCAAGTCGACATTTTTCTCTAGAGTAGGTCATTCCCTATGCATCGGCATTGCAACGTACTCATGATTTGAGTTAGTAAATAACTTTCCTAAAAGAGGAACCAGTGGGTTAACATCGGGCACCGGGTTAGCAGAACGATCACAACGCGCCACTCGGACCGGTTGCCGAGTCTCGCCAAACCGGTCCATGTTTGCTTCGGGGAGGCACGATTTGCCCCAACGAAATTCATCAAATGCTCCAAGTGAAAGCCGAACCGAAACGAGCCTGAGACGGCGGAGAGCAAGCCCGTCTCACACCCGCGGCGGATCGATGCCCTGTGAATCCCCTCAAGATGCGTCGCACGTGAACGGGATGGGAAATGCGAGCGTGAGTCTACTATAGTCTTTTCCTTTCCACAGAAACTGATATGGAATCGTCGCAAAACCCAAAATAAAAATAGGAATATGAATAATGTGCTCTCATCGCGTCCTCAAAGACGGGGCTTCCGAAGGACATTACCCCTTTTGCAGGCATCGGATTCATACTCCTATCCGATATTGGCCAAAATAAACTATATAGTGCTAAAGGTAGGCCACTGGTGATATAGGGGTTCTTTTCCTATTTTGGTGGGGAAGGAGGAGGTAGAGAAGGAGGGGAAGGAGGAGGGGAGTGAGAAGGTGATGAGAAGGGAGACGGGGTGTAGGAAGTGGAGAGAGGGGGAGAGGGAAGTGGGGAGAAGGGGGATTTGTTTTCAATCCCCCACACATCTATTGTGTAGGTATTGTGTAGCTGTAATTTGAGTTTCAGTGAACATTTCATTATGCACCACTCATCGTCAAAAAAAAATCATACCCAAGGTCTGGGCGTAATCACGTAAACATACTCGTATAAGTGTGTCTTGAAACTGATGTTAGTTACAAGGTCGTATGTTGAATATTTGCACAAAAAACTTGCTAGCCATCACAATTAAATGAGGAGTCGTGCTTACGCCCCATAACAGATATCTAGAAGGAGTTTATTAATGAAATGCGAAACAGTAACTTCTATTAATGCTTAGTACAATGCAGGAAAGTTTCAAGGTCATTGGATGAAGCGATGCAGGGTAAACTTGCCCAACCAGCCGACGCCCTGAGGGATGGGGAATAGAGCGACTACACCGATGAGGCCGGTTTCCTCCATCCATTACACCTCGCGTCGATCGTATATCTTTCGTCTTTAAAGCCATGCCAGGACGACGTCCACGAAAGCAGTTTTTGCCAACTTGACGTGTTCGATCGAGGTCGGTTTGTTGGCATGATAGAGACAGGCCTTACCATGCATCAGGTTGCGCATCGGCTAAGTGCAAGTGCGAGTACCGTACGGAGTTGGTTGACTCGGTTTCAGAATGGGGCCAACCACGAACAACAACGAGGATCAGGCCGCCCTCGCATCACGACCCCCAGGGATGGCCGGTATTCCCGGATGCAGACTCTCCAAGAGAGATTCGCCGTTCGCGAAAGGTACTGGTGGCTGGGGACGGGTAGTCAGGTCGTCCAGACCCTGCCCAGAGTCCCTGCTGGATTGCACGACGGTACGCGGTCTTCAAATAAGTCCTTTGGCCCTTCCCGCGCCACCATCATGCCAACTGACCGACCTCCATCGAACTGGTAAAAATCGCGAAACTGCCTTCGCGGACGTCGTCCCTGCTCGGCTTTAAAGACGAAAGACAAACGATGAAAGCAAAGCGGAGTGGACGGAGGAAACCCGGTCTGACCAGTGCAGTCGCCATTTTCCTCATCTCTCGGGGCGGAACGCCTGCTCGGCAAGTTTTCCCTGCATCGCTTCATCCTACGAACGTGAAACTTTGCTGCATTGCACTAAGCATTAATGGAAGCGCCTGTTTCGCATTACAATAATAAACCCCTTCTAGATGTTTTTTATGGGCGATAAGTACGACCCTTCTGACCCATTTTAATCGGTATATTTGGCAAGTTTTCTCCACCAATATTCAACCTACGACCTTGAAACTAGCATCAATTCCATGACACACTAATACGAGTATGTTTACCTAATTTCATGAAGATTGCTCGACTCTCTTTGGGTGAGCCTTTTTTTTGGCGATGTGCCCGTAGTCTGAGTAACTTTTTTCCCACCAACTTTTTCACTTGATCCTCTCAATTGGGGCATATTAAAGGCACTGTAACATGGATAGGGCAAAATGCTCGAAAGCGGATTTCATTTCCCTGACGAAACGTCCACAACGATTCGTGTCGCACCATGTCCGTTTCTTAGAGGAAAAGGAAACGTGACGAACCCAAAATGTCACCAAATATCATAAGAAACCGAGTGGAATCGCACACGAGCAACGGTACATGGGGAAAGAAACTTTGGTGTCAAGTACTGCTCAAGTACTCGTTCCGTACAGGTCCAATCCCGGTAAGTCATTTGGGCAACCAGGTCACGTTCGACGCCACCATATTTGACACCGTTGCCATGTCGGCGAAACAGTTCCAATGCAACCGGTTCCAACGTTTCAGTGGAAGATATTTCAGTGAGACGGGACCCTAGCCCAATCCTGTAATATATCATAATAGGTGGTACCCATGAAATATTCAGGTCCTCTTATTCGAAATTTATCGACTTCTACCCCATAGCGCTGAAATAAAAGACAAAGCAGGAATTTCGAACAAAACCATATTTTGGATCAATAATATTTGGCCTGTCCCGTCATTCACCCTCCCTCCCCCTCTCCTTACCCATATTAATGAATTTCTCTATGCACCAAATTTAATCAGGTTTGGATTCATAATATTCAAATGAGTCTCAGCTCGGTTGGCATTCGTGGTTCCTGTAGGGTGCAGACGAATATGCCTTCATAGGGGTCTTTTCCTCCAGCCGCTTGCAGCTGCTGGCAGAAAGGACGCCTTTTTCCGTCTGGTCTACGAAGCGAGCACGTCATATAATGACATCACTCTCAGGCACGCGGTCCACGGCGAAAAGTTGTGATCTAAGATAGCACTGAACAGGCCAGCATAAACGTGATGTCGATTGATGGCGGGAGGCATCAGCTGAGCCTCTGAGAAAAAGTATGAACGGGGAGACCCTGAGATCTGACGCGTAGAAGCCTGAGCGGGCCGCGCGGTGGCCCGGTCGGCAGTACACGACCCGTGGGTGATGTCCCCGCGGTGGCCCGGTCGGCCGTGCACGACCCGTGGGTGATGTCCCCGCGGTGGCCCGGTCGGCCGTGCACGACCCGTGGGTGATGTCCCCGCGGTGGCCCGGTCCGGCGATCAAGTCTAGGCTCGGATGAGACCGCGATTCCATTCGAGCCGATCGGGTCGGGTTCGGGAAAGTTTGCCCGTGCAGGCCATCCCCACACAGACAGGATGACAGGAATACGTCGGCTATTGTTACATCGATTATGCTGTACGAGCCAGTCACCCGGTCTAATGACGCGAAGTGAAGATCTTGAGATGATGCAGGCGATCTCCATGAATCCGAGCCGGACGGCGTTTTTCACCTCAAAGAAGCTCATTTGTTTACTTTGCTAGGAGAACATCCCATTTTATTAGAAAAAAAGTACTGTTCTGAATGAATCGACAACATTTCCCGAGTGTGAATCGTCTCCCGTCGTCTAGTCTTCGACCCTGCTTGGAGGAGGTGACGCGCTTCAACTTGATGAAGTCAAAACATCCGACTCGTGAGAAAGCCACAAGCAGCTCGTCCCGGCTGAACGCAGACTCGGGTGGGAAAATCCCCTGGGAGGAAAATGTTCCAAGCTCTCCATCGATGTCGGATTCCGTCGAATCCGACGAGCGGGAGAGGAGGAGTTCCCGGAAAAAAAAAAGAGAAAACACAGTCCAAGTGACAAATATGGCGGGGAATGAAGAATCGGAAGAATTTAACACCTTCAGAAAGCGAGATGGAGTCCTCTCCCAAACCCCGGAGAGATGGA